GTTAAAATTTCACTTGAAATTATGAGTGATTTTACAGATACATTTTTATATTCTAATAAAAGAGTTTTTTTTTAATTATTAACTCAATTCTATTACTTTTTTAATTTATTTTTGTTTTTTGTTAAATTTAAATATTTATAAACCTAAAAATATAAAATTCAATTCGATGTTTGTTATTTAAAAAACATTGTTATTCGGTATAATAAATTGAACAAACAATTGAAATAAAAGTTTTTTTGTGTAAAAATTTTAATTCGCATTTATTAATTTTTTTAATTGAAGCAAAGCCTGTAGAAGATTGTCCTATTTATTTATATTTGCAATATTTACTAATACATTATTTAATTCAGATACTTTAAAACAAAGCGAAAAAAATCCAAATTTTTTTTTTAAATTAAAATAGCATTAGTGTGGAAAAGTTGCATATTGTAATCTCGATTACAGATGTGAAAGCTTTTTTAATATTAAAAAATATTTAGAGCTCGGAAAGAAATTTTGAATAAGATTAATCCGCTAAGGTAGTATTACAATCAAATTTTTGATCAATATAGCGCCAATCAAAAATTAGACTAATATCAATAATTCATTCGATTAAATTACTTGCTATGCTTAAATGTATCAAACCGTGATAAATAGCAGCAAATTAGTTTTATAAATCACAACAAAATTTGGAATAATAATAGTAAAAATTAAATTAAATTGGTCTACGATATTCTAGAATTTAAATAATATTTTCTTTAATTTACCAATTTTTGGATTCAATTAAGCTCTTTTTAGGTCAGTTTAATTTATTTTTTAAGTGGTAGTTATCAAAAATTTGGCAAAATTAAGAATAATTAGGATAAAGTTTATCAGATCATTTGATTGATTTGTGCAAAATAGTTAGTAAAAAATATATTAAATTTATCAAATTTTTTAATATTTTAATCTAATAATTAAATAAAACTTGTTTGATGTGGTAATTATTTTATTCAATATTTGATTATTGACTGGAATATTGATTTTCGTAATAATCTGTGATAGTGGGGTAGGTAAAGTATACTAAATTTTGTGTCTATAAATACTTATTTATTTCAGTTTACAAACTTTCATAAAAAAAGAACTTAATATAATAATAATTTATAAGTAGGTACAAAATACAAAAAATAATAATGGTTTAACAATTGCTTTTTATGTTTAATTGACTAATATAATGTATAAGTTTTAAAATATTTGCGTTTAATTTAAAACTTAAAAAACAACATTTAAAATTTAATTTAACGGCGGCAAATATATCAAAGATGATGGCCGGAGATATCTCATGTGGTGCGCACAACAGTCCCTATTTCGTTCGCATTCCAAAGAAATCGACGTCCACTTGACAGTCAAAATGCTTTGTAAAAATAAGGGGAGAAACATACCTATAAAAAAATGGTTTATTTGTTACTTACCTTTAATATTCTCAATAATAACGATGGATTAAACAAACTAAAACCGGACACGTACTTACACGATCGTTTACAACTCACTACACGCGAAGAGCAACTGTAAACTAAGACGCGTTAAAAACTAAAAATTGGCATGTTTGCTAAATTTGCTCCTTATATTACAGATTTGGTCAAGATAATAGCTTGATTTTAGCGGACTTTTATTAATTCAATCAAATATTGGATAGTCGTATCAAAAATTGGATAGAATTAGTCTTATATTTGATTAATGTTAGTACATAATTTATAGGTCTTTTTCTAATATTCAGTAAATTTTTTTAATAATTTAATCCAGACAGGATTATTTTAATTTAGCATGTAGAGATATTAAGCAAATATTTTATTGATTTTATTCCAAATGTAGAGGGTGTTTTCGTATACGACACCCCTCTAAAATCTTTATTTGAAGATAATATAATATATTATATATATAATATTATATTATATTAAAAAATCCAGCTTCAAGGGCTACAAAAGTAATTTTTTTGACAAAAATTACAAAACAAAAAAGCATCGGTAAAATAGATACCTATAACATTGTTTTTCCAAAGAAAAAACTATTTCAAAATATACATGGTGTTTCATTGAAAAAAAAACAATGTCAATGCTATTTTATTAAATTTACCGATGCTTTTTTGTTCTTAAATTTTTGTAAAAAAAAATTACCCTTTTAAACCATGCAAGCTGGATTTTAAATTTTTTTGATATTTCTTTAAATAAAGATTTTATAGGGGTGCCCCATTTATAAGAAAACCCCCTGTACTTACTTATACTAGTAAAAATAAAGTTAAATCCATTTAGTTTTATTTATATAATATTTGATAAAATTAATCCAAATTGGAATATAATAATAAAATCCAAGAGTTGATCTGAGTATCTTTCCTAAGAAAATTAAGCTTAACGTTACATAAAGCCAATCTTAATGTTTGATTGGTTTAAGAAAAACTTTTTCTGTGACCAATCTAAAATTTTACTGTTCCTAGAAAAAAATTTATTAAATGTAGCACTTAAACGATTATGTCTATCTAATGATGTTAATTTTAATATGATGATATTAATCATTTGCGAAATGTACAGATTTATCGTAAAACACACAAGATTTGTCAGTTTTTTTTTTGACTTATTCTATTAAACTAATTTATTTAGGATAATTTTTGACTTTTCTTAAATTAATAAATGGATTTGATTTATTTTATCATAACATTTCTTCCCTAGGGTCCGCAGGGCAATTACATTTGTAAATATTCGCGTTTTTATTATATAATATTAAATCTTCAAAAAATTATTAATTATTTTAATTTGAATATTCATTAGCTTGCAAAAGTCCTATTTTAGTTTACAGATAAAAACCATTTTCGTTTTTTAGCTCATACAAAATATATAGTGTTTTTTAAAACTTGCTATTCTTTTTTTTCATGCGGACTCTGAAGATGATCGAAAATTTAGTAATTCTTTATTTTAAACGTATATTAATGAGCAACTTTTGGCACGTAATGTGTAAAGCAAGTCAAGAAAAAAAATATGTTGCTTACCCTATTAAAAAAAAACATATTTTCCAAATTATTTGCCATTTTTTGTTTCACATGCGGACCCTGAAGATGATCAAATATTTAGATTTTTTTTATTATTATTAAACTGTATACTAATGCGCAACTTTTGGCGCATAATGTGTAATCAAATTCAAAAAAAATATTTTTCGCTCCACCCTAATGTATATATATATATACATATATGACTTATGATGAATATTAAAAATACAATAAATAACATTAAAGTTTTAAATTAAAACAAAAAAATTTAATTGCTTATTATTTATATGTAAAAAAATTTAGTAAAATTATTGTTATTTTTTAAAACATTTTGTGGGCCACGCGGACGGCGCAAATCACAGAACTGTTTTTATTAAAAAAATTGTAGGTAATTTATTATATGAGAAGGTATATTTCAAAACGCAGTATTTAAATTATTGTTCACTGAGCATTACATGTATGCATGCTTCACAGGCAGCTGAATTCCATTTATTTCATGGGAATAAATATCTCAACAAAATATAGTTTTATTTTAAAAGTTTTCAGCCTCATTCTATTGAAGACCTTTGACAACGAATAATTCAAGAATGCCGAGCTATTCCACGACAAACATTTTAAAATGTTCGAAGGGAATTTGAGAAAATAATGAAAGTCCTTTTAGTCCTTTTTAGCATTTAATGTAAAAAGCTAAAAATTCAAGTGTTGAACAATTTCTTTATTTATGCTTTTTTAGTTTATTATACTTATGTAAGTATTTTGCGTTCTCCAGTTTTTTTAATAATGTTTTGGGAAAACAAAATTGTTTAACAAGAAATTGCAATAAATAATTATGAAAATTATTTTGCGTATTTTTCCAAAAATTAAACTATTAAAAACTATTTTTTAGTACATTTAAATAGCAATTCTCATGAGCTTTCCAATGAGGTATCACAAAGAAGGGGTTGCCATTTAAAAAAATTAAGTTGGGGTGGCTAAAGCCGTAGGGGTTGCTTAGTGAAGATTATACGGATTCCCTCCACAAATCCTAGATATCTTTTTTAAGTTCATACTTATAGAGCATTGCTCGTTTTTAAATAGACAACATATATAATATTATATATAATAACCAGGAAAATAGGTATTATTTATTTCAATGATCTTCGGTTAGAGTAATCGATTGAAAATATATATACTAGGGTGTCCCAAAAAAAAAGAATATATTTTTTTTTCTTGTCTCTTGTAAAAATATGTTAGTTTATCATGCTGTTAGAGCCCTTTCAAAATATCAGCTCGATTAAAAATTTTGTAGGGGTCGCTCAAGATTTTTAAAAATTTTCAATCGTCAAAAATTGAATTTTTGTTTTATTTTAATTCTTTTTCTCGTCTCGATATTATTTTTTAGGTTGAAAATAATAAAAATTCTGTAAATTTCAAATCAATATTTTGATTTCTAAAGGTCGCTAAAAGTTCGTTGATATTTATATTCAGAGGTCGCTCGAAAACATTCAAAATACTCTACTTTGAAAGTTAAAAAAATCTTGAGCGACCTTTAGAAATTAAAATATCGATTTGAAATTTTCAGAATCATTATTATTTTTAAATTAAAAAATTATATCGGAACGAGAAAAAAAATTAAAATAAAAAAAAATACAATTTTTGACGATTTTGGTAATTTTTAAAAATCTTGAGCGACCCCTAAAAATTTTTTAATGGTGCTGATCTTTTGACAGGGCTCTTAAAACATGACAAACCAACATATTTTCACAAGAGACGAGAAGAAAAAAAATATTCTTTTTTTTTGGGACACCCTAATATATACAGTGCCAACGTAAAAACTTCCCCCTTATATTTTTGGAACTGGTATGAATTGCACATTTTAGAATGTTAAACTAGAAATTAAATAATACTTAAAAAAAATCAAAATGGCGTCTTACTGTCAAAAGGTTAATTATTCTTGTCAAAAATGGTATATGTAGTTATTTTTCGATAAAATCAAAAATATGACGATTTCACCCTTAAATCCAAGATGGCGAAAAAGCTGCAACCTCAAAATACTGGAATAAACGGTATTGGTATATGCATTCCCATTTTTTTGGTTTACTCGAAGCTTATTTCGGTTAATTAACTAAAACAAACAAACAAACAAATATTAATAAAAATATTCCCAAACTCAGCACAAGCAAATACGTCAAATACGTACACGCCCACACATAGCTTATTTCCTCCCATTCTAGGCTATATGGAAATCGACTTGGGATATACTTTCATCTTAAAACAATGCAAAAAAATAAAATATAAATTTTTGAGAAAAAAACCGATATTTATTTTTTGGCAAAACTTTTTTTTAAGATATAAAAAAATACGTTATTTAAATTTTTTATTTTTTAAATCCGTTAATATTTGTGAAAAATATAAGCTAATTACTAAACACAATAAATATCGGAGTACAGGGTGGTCCACGTAAGGTGACCCATATACTTATCTCAGAAACTACTGGAGTCACAAAAAATTTGTAAGAAACAAATATTCACGAAGTAAAAAATATTTTTAAAATATTATATTTTCATTTATACAGGGTGTTCGGTTTTCCTTGGGACGATACCAACTTTCTTATTTTCAATGGAACACCCTGTATTTTTTTGCATTTTTGAATTCTACCCACTCTTTTAGGTATACTTTGTAAATATATTAATTAAGAAAATGTTAATACTTTTTGAGTAAAATTAAGATTTATTAAAATTTCTCTAAATGTAGACACTCGCTAAAAGTTAAAAATAATCAACTAAAAGTTATTATTTTTTATATTATGTAGTATCCATCTCTTTAATAATAAGTAAGCTTTAAGTTAATTATTATATTTTTTGGAAAATATCATACAGGGTGTTTTCTATGTCCCGTTGAAAATAGAGATTTTAAAAGTTTAAAATCTTGTTTTTCTTCAATGGAACACCCTATATTTTTTTGCATAATTGGATAGAATAAGTAATTACCTTTCATTTTATATATATGTCCTATACCTAAACCTAACAGAAAAAAAAATATTCGCATTTTTCACAATTAGTAGATAGCTTTTTTCCAATTACCTTAGTTAAATTTTCATTATTCAAATAAATAAATTTCAATAACAACAAATAAAAATCCTTTTATATATAAATATATATTACTATAATAATTACCATACGCGCAAAGCTACTAATTTTGTAAAATGCGAATATTTTTTTTAGATGATCCACGTAAGGTGACCCATATACTTATCTCAGAAACTACTGGAGTCACAAAAAATTTGTAAGAAACAAATATTCACGAAGTAAAAAATATTTTTAAAATATTATATTTTCATTTATACAGGGTGTTCGGTTTTCCTTGGGACGATACCAACTTTCTTATTTTCAAAGGAACACCCTATATTTTTTTGCATTTTTGGATTCTACACACTCTTTTAGGTATACTTTGTAAATATATTAAATAAGAAAATGTTAATACTTTTTGAGTAAAATTAAGATTTATTAAAATTTCTCTAAATGTAGACACTAGCTAAAAGTTAAAAATATCCAACTAAAAGTTATTATTTTTTATATTATGTAGCATTCATTTCTTTAATAATAAGTAAGCTATAAGTTAATTAATTTATTTTTTGGAAAATATTATACAGGGTGTTTTCTTTGAATAATGAAAATTTAACTAAGGTAATTGGAAAAAAGCTACTAATTGTGAAAAATGCGAATATTTTTTTTTCTGTTAGGTTTAGGTATAGGACATATATATATATAAAATGAAAGGTAATTACTTATTCTATCCAATTATGCAAAAATATATAGGGTGTTCCATTGAATAAAAACAAGATTTTAAACTTTTAAAATCGCTATTTTCAACGGGACATAGAAAACACCCTGTATGATATTTTCCAAAAAATATAATAATTAACTTATAGCTTACTTATTATTAAAGAGATGGATACTACATAATATAAAAAATAATAACTTTTAGTTGGTTATTTTTAACTTTTAGCGAGTGTCTACATTTAGAGAAATTTTAATAAATCTTAATTTTACCCAAAAAGTATTAACATTTTCTTATTTAATATATTTACAAAGTATACCTAAAAGAGTGGGAAGAATCCAAAAATGCAAAAAAATACAGGGTGTTCCATTGAAAATAAGAAAGTTGGTATCGTCCCAAGGAAAACCGAACACCCTGTATAAATGAAAATATAATATTTTAAAAATATTTTTTACTTCGTGAATATTTGTTCCTTACAAATTTTTTGTGACTCCAGTAGTTTCTGAGATAAGTATATGGGTCACCTTACGTGGACCACCCTGTACAGTATATACCTCGTATATACGTACAGCTGTGGCAAATTTTCTAAAGAATCTGAAAAATAAGTAGTTGGTTATAATCAGCTTGCAAACCTTGTTGATGTAACACATCAACACTAGGGTTTTAGAATTTCCGGAAAAGTTGAACCGGCGGAAAAAACGGAAAAATTGAGAAATTTCGAAAAATTGACATGCACTTTTTTCATTTTATTCAAAGGGTAAAACAAAAAAATGTAAGTCATTTTTTTTAAATTTACAAATTTTTACGGATACTATCCGTACACTATCAAGAAAAATGTGAATTTGCGATGATAAATATAATCATAATATTATGATTATAATAATTATTTCTTTTATTTAAATAGTAAAAATATTTTACCGGGTCGCAAAAAAACATATTCAGTGCTCTATTAAATAAATTTCGTTTTATTTAATACTTCCATTTATAAAATTATAATTTTTACTTTATAAATCATTCATTATTTTGTAATTGGATAATTTGAATGGACTTTTTGCAAAAAATACCCAATCGACAGTATATTTAACGTTTACGTTAATTTTCTTAAATCAATTTAATTTAATTCAATGTTTATTTTTATTTTTTCTGTAAGGATATTATATATAAGGATATATAATTGTTGATTGCTACTTTTTTTCAAATGTGTATAGTTTACAAAAAAAATCAATTTTTCCTAAAGAAGTCAATTTGTCCAATGCTTCGAGAAAAACGGAAAAAACATGTTTTTCCCCCAATTTTTTCGTTTTTTTTTCGACACTTTAAAACCCTAGCTCCAACTACTTTTTTTAATCATTATTTGTTTTAATCAAGGTTTTTTTATATTTTTGTCACTTTTTTTTATTTTTTTTACTCTTCTGAAGGTACTTACAAAGTTTTAGATTTTTAAATTAATTTTTAACCTGAGCCCCCACCACTTTAAAAATGTCTTATAAAGAGGGAAAAAATTTTATATTTTTTTTCAAACAAGGTTTTTTCTTACTTTTTGACTTTACTGAAGGTATTCCCAAAGTTTCAGATTTTGAATTAATTTTTAACCAGAGCCCCGACCACTTTAAAAAAATAAGAGCAAAAACTAAAAAAGTGGGAAAAGGTCATAATTTTTTTTTCAAACGAGTTTTTTTCATAATTTTTTAACATTCTGATGGTACAGATTTTTAAATTAATTGTTAACCTGAGCTACGACCAATTTAAAAAAAAATTAAAATCCTAAAAAAAGTTAATTCAATGTTTATTTTTATTTTTCCTGTAAGGATATACTCGTATAGCTGTTTATTGCTACTTTTTTCAAAAGTCTATATTTTCCAAAAAATATTCAATTTTTCCTAAAAAAGCAAATTTTTCCAATGCCTAGGAAAAAAACGGAAAAAACAGTTTTCCCCCAATTTTTCCGGCTTTTGTTCGACACTTTAAACCCCCGAGGTTTTTTTATATTTTTGTCACTTCTGTAGCCATTCCCAAAGTTTCAGATTTTTAAATTAATTTTTAACCTGAGCCACTTTAAAAAAATAGAAAAAATCTTTAAAAAGTGGGAAAAAGTCATAATTTTTTATAATTTTCTTAAATTTAATTTTTTCCAAAAACATAATTTTTAGAAATGAGCCCCGACCACTTTTAAAAAAATTAGAAAAAAAAACAAAAAAGTAGGAAAAAGTCATACCTAATTTTTTTATCAAACAAGTTTTTTTTATTTTTTTACTCTTCTGGAGGTATTCCCAAAGTTTCGGATTTTGAATTAATTTTTAACCAGAGCCCCGACCACAAAAAAAATTAGAGCAGAAACTAAAAAGGTAGGAAAAGGGCATAATTTTTTTTTCAAACGAGTTTTTTTTCATAATTTTTTAACATTCTGATGGTACAGATTTTTAAATTAATTGTTAACCTGAGCTACGACCTATTAAAAAAAAATTAAAAATCCTAAAAAAAGTTAATTCAATGTTTATTTTTATTTTTCCTGTAAGGATATACTCGTATAGCTGTTGATTGCTACTTTTTTCAAAAGTCTATATTTTCCAAAAAATATTCAATTTTTCCCAAAAAAGCACATTTTTCAAATGCCTGGGAAAAAATCTGAAAAAACAGTTTTTCCCCAAATTTTTCCGGCTTTTGTTCGACACTTTAAAACCCTGGCCCCAACTATATTTTTTTTAATCAATACTTTTTTTAACGAGGTTTTTTTATATTTTTGTTACTTCTGTAGCCATTCCCAAAGTTTCAGATTTTTAAATTAATTTTTAACCTGAGCCACTTTAAAAAAATAGAAAAAATCTTTAAAAAGTGGGAAAAATTCATAATTTTTTATAATTTTCTTAAATTAAATTTTTTCCAAAAACACAATTTTTAGAAATGAGCCCCCGACCACTTTTAAAAAAATTAGAAAAAAAAACAAAAAAGTAGGAAAAAGTCATAATTTTTTTATCAAGCGAGTTTTTTTTATTTTTTTACTCTTCTGGAGGTATTCCCAAAGTTTCAGATTTTTAAATTAAATTTTAACCAACAATTTTATATTTTTTTTTCTTACTTTTTGACTTTACTGAAGGTATTCCCAAAGTTTCAGATTTTAAATTAATTTTTAACCAGAGTCCCGACCACTTTACAAAAATAAGAGCAAAAACTAAAAAACTGCGAAAAGGTCATAATTTTTTTTTCAAACGAGGTTTTTTCATAATTTTTTAACATTCTGAAGGTACAGATTTTTAAATTAATTTTTAACCTGAGCTACGACCAATTTAAAAAAACTTGTGTATGTCAAAAAGTATTATTTAATGTCTAGTTTAACATACTAAAATTACACCTACTTATGTACAATTATAATTATTAACCGAAATTGTCGCGTTGCAATTTAATCGTTTTGTTTTGTTCAGGTCGACAGTTCGGGTTCGGCAACTCAGCTTCATTATTTAACCAGGCTTAAGTCGGTCCCGACGCCGAACAACCGATTTCATCAACAACAAGGCATCACCAGAATGCAGTCGAGTCAGAAGACCACGAAAACATGCGCCGTCTAAGCCGAGCAACTTGAGCCACTTTTAATTACAAGGCAGAGATCTCGTAAGATAAATGACAAAGATTTTGGTTCTCTCCAAAACATGTTTATTTATTATTTATTTTTGCTGTGTTTTTTGCTTTCATTACCAGTACGAGTAATTAACTTGTGATTTATTTTGAAACTCCTAATATGTTTTATTTAACTTCTTTAATGCATGCACAAATAGATATTAAAGTTTTTTAACGATTTTTTGATTTTGCTGCCTTCATTATTTTTCTTATTTTACCTTTTTTATCGGTTGATTTTTTGAAAGAGATTTGATTTATTTCTTCCACCTTTAAAATGTACTATGCTCCACAGTGTGGAGTCCACACCCCAAAGTCCCACCACGTGACCACGTACGGAACGCAGTCTTTTGAAAATTTGGCATTTAAGGCTTTTCAGGTTATGTATCTGTCAAAGTATAGTCAACGAAAGAAATAATATGATGTTTAGGCGTTAAAAATGTATAAATCTTTATAACATTACAATAACAATGGATGGTTTAAGAATTTAAGAATATAAATACTGCATTTAATGAAATTCTAAAGTGTATGGTGCCAAATAAGTAATATTTTTGTGCATTTGGTCCAAATATCTGGTTTTCTCCATAAAATAATTTTAACTAAACAGCATTTATTAAAAAAAAAATAAAAAACAAAAGTACCATCTAATTTTGTAATTTTAAGGTTAGAAAAATTTATTTTGACCAAAATAAATAAGTATTTTGGATTATTTAAAAGACTGTATAATATGGTATTTAAAAATGTGGTAGTTTTTCTTATCCAGCTTAAAGTGTACCTACATAAAGTTTTGTCAATACAAATAGTTAAAAAGCTTCGACTGAACTTGATCTACATCGAAAAATCATTATAACTTTAAAAATTTTAATAAATCACATGTCATGGGAGTATTAAATATTTTCACATTCCAAGTTTCTCTAAAAATTGTTCGTTTTCTTATAATCTAATTTAAAGTAGGTATGCCGAGAGTTTTGTCATTAGAAGTATAAAAGCTTCAATTTAATTTGAACCATATTCAACAATTATTTAGTATACCTATATTTATTTATGACCATATTAACACATTCTTCCAATTAATCCACTTTTTTATTTTGGTCAAAATAGATTTTTCTAACCTTAAAATACAAAATTAGAAGATATTTTTTGTTCTAATACATTAACCTACCTTTGATACAGATATTCTTATTTCATAATAGAGAAGTTAGATTTTTTTTAATAAATGCTGTTTAAAAAAATATCACTTATTTGGAACTAAACACTTTAGAATTTTATTAAATGCAGTATTTATATTCCTAAATTCTTAAACCAACCATTGTTATTGTGATACTATAAAGATTTATTAACTTTTAACGTAAGCGGTAACACTATAAATATTATTTCTTTCATTGACTATACTTTGACAGATACATAACCTGAAAAGCCTTAAATGCCAAAATTTCAAAAGACTGCGTTCCGTACGTGGTCACGTGGTGGGACTTTGAGGTGTGGAGCATAGTACATGTTTCCATGACACTAAGGGCTAAAGTTAGTTTTAAGTAAGTGCCCTTCTTGTAAAATAATACTAAAAATGACATTTTTTTATTATTTCGGGTAAAGACTCCACCGCGGAGTTCCTATAAAACCTTATCTTTACTTTCACTGTAAAAAACTGCTTCTAATGCTACTGCTTCTGCTTCTATCGGATTTTAAATTTTAGTTAGTCCAGGGATAAATTTCTATTTACACGCAAAAATTTGACATTTGACATCCCACACAGAGCACAAGTTAGAATGGTTACTCTATTGTTTTAAAGATGTCGCTCTATACAAATATTTAATTAAATTCGTGACTAAAATTGCGTTTATCAAACTTGATACATAATATACTATTTTCTGTGTGTAATATTTTATAATAATACAATTTATACATTTATAAAATATTCTTTTAAAAAATTATAAATATTAATATAATACAAGATTTAAAAAAATAGCAAAAATGCTTAACTTTATAATAATATAATGGCGCAACAAAAACAAAATAGTAGTTTTCAGGTACATGGTAATCAGAGATTTTTTTAAAATCAACATTTTTGCTAGGTATATAAAAAAATCTGGATACTTGTTTCAATATTGTTGTTTGCATTAATGACTTTTTCATGCTAAAATGCACTTGTATAAGTATAAGTAATATATAAGTATAAAAAAATTAAATATATTTGCAAAAAAATATATTTATTAAAAATACATTTATATCAGTAAAAATTATATATATTTTGTTTTAAAAAGTAAATATATATAAAAATGAAATCAGTAATTTTTTATATACAGGGTGTTATGTAATTAATGTTATATATTAAAATGGGTTGTTCCTTAGGGTCCATAAAGAAGCACCTGAAACTTTTTTTTTCTAACTTCCAAAGTCTAAAAATAATTTATAATAACCTTTATCCTACCAAAAAGTACGCAACTGATCGACTAGGAACTTTAGGTTAATCTGGTGGATTTATTATGTTATGGTTGGTAACAACTGTTTCCAAAATCTTTCAAAAAAGTTGCCAAGCATTGTTTAAATTTAGCTTAATTACAAAAATGACAAAATTAACAATGCAAATTGTCAATTTGGCGTTTTTATTAATTGTTGGTTATTTCATTTTTGTACTGAAGGTAAATTCAAACAAAATCTGCCAACTTTTATGACAGAATCTAGTGCATTTCTTTTAAATTTTAGGTTATGTTTTCAAATTGTAAATATCTTAACTAAGGGAAGTGCTTTTGGATTTATTTACACAAATTAAATGTTTAAAGTTTAACCTGTGAACTGGTCCCAATTTCATCTGAGTAAACAGAGAAAAAAACTGATGAAAAAATTAATTTTGTGGTTATGGATTTCAAATTTCAAAGATACTAAATTTTCTAATCATTGCTTAAGCTAATAGCTGGATCAGTAAATAAATACAGAAGGGTATTAGAGCTTTAAGGGCATAAAACTTTTGTATTTATTGAGTTTTTATTTATTTTTTGCAAGAAAAATTTTGGGTGACGTTCACAATATCGAAATTCATTATATCGAATTCAAAATATCGAACACTTTTTATCGAAACTCAAAATATCGAAAATACAAAATGTCGAAAATCAAAATATCGAAAATTAAAATGTCGAAAATGATAATATCGAAAATTAAAATGTCGATTTGAAAATGTCGAATAATTAAAATTTCGAAAATTAAAATGTCGAAAATGATAATATCGAAAATTAAAATGTCGATTTGAAAATGTCGAATAATTAAAATTTCGAAAATTAAAATATCGATTTAAAAATATCGAAAATTAAAATGTATGATTAAAATCGAAGTGTATATGTACAGAGGCGCCTATGTAGATAAAGTTACGGTTATGCACCGAATTATCTTGGCTCCCTGGCTCCTAGAGATGCGCGTTTTATAGAAATGTACTCAAACTCAACAACACAACCCAACCGACCCCGCCCCATTGGCCCCCCCCCCCGCCCCATTGAGCAAAAAACCCAACTAAAATGGGCAAATTCATGTTACGATAAAAATAAAACACTTTTTAATTACATAAATTAGCCCATTTTAGTTGGGTTTTTTGCTCAATGGGGCGGGGGGGGGGCCAATGGGGCGGGGTCGGTTGGGTTGTGTTGTTGAGTTTGAGTACATTTCTATATCAGAGGCGTCTCTGTACATATACACTTCGGATTAAAATAATATGTCGATTAATTGAAATATTTAAACAAAATATCAAATTCAAAATAAGAAAATATTTCGACATTTTGTATTTTCGACATTTTAATTTTCGACATTTTGTATTTTCGATATTTTGATTTTCGATAAAAAGTGTTCGATATTTTGAATTCGATAAAGTGAATTTCGATATTATGAACGTCGATATTTTATTTTCGATAAATTGAAAATTCGATTAAATAAAATTTCGATATTATCATTTTCGACATTTTAATTTTCGATATTTTGATTTTCGACATTTTGTATTTTCGATATTTTGATTTTCGATAAAAAGTGTTCGATATTTTGAATTCGATAAAGTGAATTTCGATATTATGAACGTCACCCAAAATTTTTAGTAACAATTTTTTACATCTGGCAACGCATAGCTACTTTGTTGGTTGGTATCAATGTACTCACAAAATACAGGTGTGCAGAGATAAACAAGTGTGTAGCCAGTGGCGTATCACAAAAAATATAAATAACTTCTAATGCATATTTTTTCTTTATCTATGGAAAAATGTTTTTTTTAATATTTTTCCTTTATTCCTTATGTCAAAAGGTATTCAGTATTTTAATATATAACATTAATTACATAACACCCTGTATTTCAGCATTCATTAATGACTTTAAATAAATGGTAAAGATTTTGTATCTCTATAGTTTTGATTTATTTTTGCTGTATTTACCAATTAACATATTAACACCGCTACACCATGGACTAATCTCAATGTAGATTTTACATTATTTACTTGAATTTAAAGTATTACAATCCCAACATTTTTAAATAAAAATGAAACATATTTTTTAAGGACCTCACGTAACATTCAAATCAACTCAACTATGTGATTTGCAGTGGTTTTTTATTTTATTTTTTTACCCTAAAGCAAATGACTCTCATTTGTGTCACGTGTTGCAATGCATGTAAATTTGAGTGGGCCAAGAATGCTGATACATGCCTTAAAATAGTCTATGTTTTATTTTAGTGAGTTTTTTTCGTGTTTAATTAGCGAGTTTATTTATGCACCTGCATTGCGTGTTTTTACCTAATATATAAAATATTATTGTATTATTAAACGAAAATTTCATTAAATATTTAGGTTGCGTTTTACTTGTTTAGTTTTGCCTATGCATTTATTTTAAAAACTAGAAATGTTAATATTTTTGTATATGGAGAAATTTTATTATTTCTTTCAAATTCTCCTACTTCTCATTTATTTAATTATTTTTACACGCAAAAATATATAATCTAAAACATGTTTGGAATTCTAGAATCATTTATTTATAAAATAATTGTATCCACTCCCATGGCATAATATTTTTTTTCTGTATATAAGAATAACCATTATAAATTCCCTACCTAAGAAATAAATAATGAACTCATTATTGGACGATTTCAATATTCACTGTGATTTAAACCAATCGGGTTTTAAATTGGGAGAAGGCTACTATAATAATATATAGGTAGTAATATAATAATGGTAAAAAGTGAGGTAAACCATTTGACAGGTGTAAGATTTTATTTATATAATTTTAAAAATCATTTAATTATCTACTTATTGGAGTAGATAAAGTATTACTCTCAATATTATGCGCATTATTCATGAGGATGACTTAAATCATTAGGTATTTTTACATACAAATGAGACATACTTATGTACATAAATATGATTTTAAACTTGGTTTACACAGTACATTGACAATAACTACAAAAAATCATAGAAAACAATGTTAGAAAACTTAACCTTATAACCAAAACACATATTATGTTAATAATACCATTAAGGTTAGTTTACAGTACGATTCCTTCATAAAGTGTTATTTTTTATTTAATTTTTAAAACGTAAAATAGTATTAATAAATGTTTTTATTTCAGGTATTTGCTGGCCATTTCCTTTTAGAATAAATGTAAAGGAATAATATTTTTTGTTTTATAAAGAGATTAATTATTTTTTAAACATAATATTAAACAGGGTGAGCAAAAGAAGCTTTTTTAAATAAATCGAAAAAAATAAATAAAAATTGTAGTTTAGGCAAATTTCCTTATTGTCCTACCTACCACTGCACTTTTATATTAAAGTCTTATATCTTAGGAAAACACATTATTTATTTTTATTTTATAAATGTATAGAATATAAAGTTTGTTAAAGTTGATTTATTGCAATTCTTTCTATGTAAAGGTTATCTATAAAAGAGTTAAGTTATTTTGTATTTTGTATATACTGTATCATAGAAAAGCAAAAGGCGCTTTATAAAATACCTAGTTTAAATAGATTTTAGAAAAAACTGTTACATAAGCCAAATGTTAATATAGGGTACTTTTGTATTATGAATATATAGGATAATATAATAAATGTATTGTCAAATGTGCTAGTCTTTATAAAAATATGAAGTAAGAATAAGGTTTTAGTAAATGTATTAAGTAGTATTTAAACCTAAGTAGCTTTTGTATGAAAGTTCCATAAGTTATTTTTTTTAATTCTGGTATTAATTAAAACTTTTTTGTTTTACTGGAAGCACAACTAGGAAATGAATGTAAGCTTAAAATGAACAAAATGTATGTGCAATTGGTTTAAAAAAATTGTTTAATATAATTTTGTAAATAAAAATATAATAATTGTCTAAAAAAATAAAGTTATAGTATATAAATGTGCTTTTTTGTTAAATATAAAATGAACACCTACACAGTAAAAAAATATTTGTTAATTTTCACCAAATATTAACCAGATTTTATGTTGGGTCCACATATCTATGTTAAGTTTACAACCAACTGAAGACTACTTTTGTTAGCCCAATATTCAAAAAAGGCGATCCTAAATTGATGAACAATTACAGACCAATAAGCTTACTATCTTCCTTTTCCAAAATTTTTGAGACTGTTATGTGTACTAGATTGGTAAATTTTTTTACATCTAACAAGTTGTAAAATCAAAATCAGCACGGCTACTTGAAGGGTAGGTCAGTGGATACAGCGGTGCACAGCTTCTTGCAAAAAATATTTGACAACTTTGAAGACAAATACCTATCACTGGGATTATTTATTGATTTGTCTAAGGCATATGATTGTCTAAATCACGACATCAGTGGCGTATTTAGGGGGGGGTCCGCCGGGTCCGGACCCCCCCCGGGCGCACATATTTTATTATTTTTATTACAAAAAAAAGTTTAAAAAAAATAAAAATCTCAAGACTGTCAACGTACTTTATTATTTATTAATTATATTTAAATATAAAATCATTAAAATCAAAAATCAACTACTTACGTATTAAAGCATAGCATAGTACATATTTAGTTAGTTTTTTTGGACCCCCCCCCGGAGTTAAACTTACGTATTAAAGCATAGCATAGTACATATTTAGTTAGTTTTTTTGGACCCCCCCCCCGGAGCTAAATCCTAAATACGCCACTGCACGACATACTATATAAAAAGTTGGAAAGATATGGAGTAAGAGGCTGTGCATTGAGGTGGATACAGTCCTATTTGACAGGTAGAAGCCAAAGGGTTAGATTGGTCAAGGATGGTAAAAGTTTTGGTTCTGAGACACAGCACATAAGTCTGGGGATCCCACAAGGAAGCACCATAGGGCCATTTTTGTTTCTTATATACATAAATGATATTGAGAATGTGGTCTCTAGTGAAAATCAGGTCATGGTCAACTTTGCAGATGACACAAACTTGCTTGTAAGGGGACAAACTTACCCAGATGTACTGGCAGAAATTGGAAATTTGATGAAAGCTACTGAAAGGTATTTTTTTATGAATAGGCTGAAAATAAATGCTGATGAAACAAATTGTATTCTGTTTAAAAAAGTTCAAGATCAATTGACCACTCCAGCTAGTGCAAAAATAAACCAAAATAGAATAAATTTTACATCTGCGACTAAATTTCTTGGATTACATTTAGATGAATATCTAGATTGGTGTGTTCACACAGATTTTTTATGTAGCAAATTGAATGGGGTAGCATACTCGCTACCAGCTTAAAAAAATTATCTTGATAAGTCAACACTAATGGTAGTGTATTTCTCAAACTTTCAATCTCTGCTAAGGTACGGGATTATTTTTTGGGGAAGAAGTAAAAATATCAAAAACATTTTTGTCACACAGAAACGTACAGTTAGAATTATTAATAATAAAAAAAGTGACATGTCCTGTAGAGGTTTGTTTAAATCAAGTAAAATATTGCCAGTTACTGGGTTATATATGTATATATACGAACTACTGATTTTTATGTTTAAAAACAAGCACTTGTTTAAACAACTTAAATCTAGTCGAAACACAAGAACGCACTGTTACATATATCCTAGTCATAGATTAACCATATATGAAAAAAGTTGTTTTTATTCATGTATTGTCTGTTATAATAAATTACCAACTCGTCTTAAGACTGTTCAAAATTTTAATAGTTTAAAATCAAATGTTTTCAATTATTTAGTTGAAATGGAGCCATATGATCTCAATGAGTTTTTAACATAATGGCTCCATACTTTTCTCCTGTGACAATATTTCCAATATTTTTTTAATTTACTTTAAATGTACAAATTATTTTAAAATAAATAAATATTATTATTATTATTATTATTATTATTATTAATCTTTTTACTAATTGAATAAGTAGTTTATAATTATAACAAACATTTTGTATATTTAATAACAAAATCCTGTAATAATAATCCTTGTAATTTTTAAAAGGACCTTATTTTTACAAACCTTTTTGTAGAACCAGAAACAAAAGTATTTGTTGGAAATTGGAAACTTAAATGAAAAGAATTTTGATAAAAAAAGTTTCTTTAATAATCCGTTTCCTAAAAAAAAAATTAACACATATAGTAAATTTAAAAGTAAACTACGTACACGTCATCAATCAGCTGATCGGGCACGGTTGTCAATGTGATGCTAAAATCCTTGCATCAAGGGAAAGTGGTAGTGCAACTACAGGGCGATAGATGGCGTTTACATGAATAATACCAAAATGTCAAAAGTCTGAGTTTTTATAACCTATATGATGCACCGCCAAAAGTATGTTTTTAGCCATTTTTAAAGACATTTTCTGATATAAAACCTAAAAATTTTGCCATCTAAAGTCAGTCTCTGGTATATTTATTATTATTTTATGTATCCAACATATATTTTATTAAATATTCTTATATATAATTAATAATAATCCTATTTACCTATTTAACAGCTGTTAAAGGTAACAAAGGTCCATTATTATCCCGTTCTGCCTCAAAATAGCGTATTAAGGATGAGACCAACTCTTGACTCCGACTATTTAAATGCTTCGGCATTTTAAATATAGGAAACACAAAAAAACGATATATAACAAACACAAAAACGGCAATGAAAACTTAAACGATAGAAAATAACACAAACAACAAACAAAATAAACGAAATAATACACGAATTAAACGAAATATTCAAAAACACAACTGACAGCTTCGAAATTCTAAAACGTCAAATTCTTTTTTATGTGTCATTTAAATATGAAATATTTGAATGTAAATATGACAACATCTTAATTGTTGCCAACTGTAGATGTTTAAAATGCATTCAAATATTCAATTACAGACTTCGATTTAGTCATTTAGTGTTGGTACCAATGCGTAAATTTTTTGTTTTATTGATGACGTGTACGTAGTTTACTTTTAAATTTACTATAACTACATAAATTAACACAAAAATAAAATATACATAACATAACACATCATTCACACTATCAATTTGTACAATACTTACTGATATATTTCGTAACTTTAACCCACTTCACTGTATCCCCTAATTTCAGTTTAAAACAGATTTTTGTAAATTTCTCTTATTATCTCGCAAATAATGAAAATGGTTTTAAAAAGGTTTCCATAAATCCCGATAACACTAAGATGGTTTTAAAAAAGGTTTTATAGCTATCTCAAAAACTTAAAAAAAATTAAAACAATTTGGCTTGCAGAGTGAAAACTCCTAAAAATTAATTTATTTGGACCTTGGTCAAACCTAGGCCAAATTAAAATGCTTTTAAAAGTAGTTTTGTTTTATGACTGACAAACAAGAGCAACTTTGTTTTATAATAGCTTTTATTTTTGGTTTTAAATTGTTTTTATAGGGCAATATTGTACAAGATAGTTTTAAAACGACCTTGCTTTTAATCAACTGCTATTAAAACTCTGTTTTATTATATCGTTACTTTAATTTAAAAATACTTAATAAACTTTTTTATTTGGATAAAACCCTTATATGCCTTTTAACAGCCGTAAAACTATTAGTTCTACGAGTGTCCTAGCGTTAAGATATAAAAATTCCACATTAATAAAAAAATTGTTTTTCTAAAATATATAGAAAATGTAAACATAATTGTAGTAATTGCAAAAAAAAATAAAAAGATATTTACAAAAATCAAGTCTAACCAGGATACCTACATTGAACAAAACAAAACAAAAAATATAAAAGGAATAAACATCTAAAATTGGTTGTTAATGAAACAAAATAAACATCAAATCAACAGAGATACAAAATTAACATGATTGACAGAATTTTTTGGATAATTTGTGTCAAAACATTAAAACTTTAAATTATAATGTTGTCCAAACAGTTTGTTGCTAATCAAGAATCTCGTAAATAAACTCACTAAATTAGACCGTATATGGGGTACTTAATTTAAGAAACGCAATTAAAGTGACTATATTTTTATTAACTTTACACATTTTATACAATCGTCAACAACTATGTGTTATTCACATAACAATCTTACAATAATTTTTATACTATCATGTTTACAATACAATGATATGTATAAAATATCTACTCGTTTTTAAAATATAAGATTTTACTAATGCACACCGAACAAATAAATATGCTTTTTATTTTGGATGTATTTTTATATTTTAATTAAATAAAACATGAAATATCACAGTATCATATTAATTAAAATAATATTCCTTACAATGTCCTGATTTTGATATATTCGCTTTACGTTTTATAAATAAAATCATGTTATTTAATATAGCAAAATTTAATTACTTTTTAGTAGATATATAAAGAATGTAAATGTCTAATAGGCTATTGATATAAATACATCCAATATTATTTTTAAAATACAATACAGCA